CCAAAAGAGGCGCTCACGATGAATGTGATTCCTGTGGTGTGGTGTTGGGTGAAAAATCGGTTAATACTCTCGCTATGGACACTTTGTATCAGTTACAGTTCGTGACATCTCCAAACGAGGGATTTTACGAAGCTTCTGTTAGAATGAAGAAGGGCGTTCCTTCACTAGTAGGAGATATCAGTCGAGTTGATGCTTACAAGGATCAACCATATTGCATCGCGTCTACATACCCACGTCTAAGCAAATACTGCTATTGTTCTCCGAAAGAGAGAGAAGCCATTGAGAACGCAGGTTAAAAATAAGCAATTTACACGAAGTGTCGGAAATTGCAAGTGATCAAGTCACTGATCTGCTTTATACATGGACCAGTTTGACTTTTTGACCTAGGATGAGTTTTTTGTCTGGAAACACCGTATTTTCGGGTTCAGTGGCTTGGTTAGATGTCCTTTTGTTGTTGATAAACTAATGTTTTCACATCTGCATTAACACCCTATTTCAGCTATTGTTTCACAGCTTGTTGGTACAACTCTGGTAGTGTGACCAAATAGTTTTCAAAGTTAATTGTGGAATTGGGCGTTAACGTAGATCTAAGCCGCCTCTGAATGATAATACTGACATTTTATTGAGCAGTGGTTATTTTTGTAAATTACTAAATTAGGGTTCCGCTCTTCGTTTGTCACTCAGCTTATCAACGTGCAATAGTCAGTGATTAGTTAATAATTGTATATCTATAATTAGTTGTAGCGTCGAAATACATAAGCCCTTTTCCGTAAATTACTGTATAACACCATTTGTACGAGTTATTTATATACAGAACAACACTATATTTGTACGAGTAATTCTACGTAGATAATGTTGCGTAAGATGTACAGTATAAGTGAGAGAATTGTTGCAATAAATCTTTCTTGAAACTGGAAGAGTTACAGTATTCAAGTTTACTATCTAGTTAAACAAGAAGGCGCGCTATAAAAGGAGAGGTGCCTTAGGTACCTCTGGATCATTTGTCAATCAGCCGTCGCGGCATACAGAACTCCAAAACAGCTTGAGCTGCAGCCAATGCAAGGCACTGACCAGAGGCGCATTTCTCGGTAAATTTCTACGTTTTCATGACAATGGAAGAATTTGTTGAGGTTTGCATTACCTTCCTCCGATCGAAACCTTCTTCATTTGTGGCGGTAAATTTGAAATTAGAAATGATTCGCTTCGCCATCGCCTAAAATTGCCATGGCGAAATTTCATGTCTGTTTCTAAATACTGGATGTAGATGACCGTAAGAATAAAAAGAAAAGATGAAGAAATGGTCAAGGCACTTTTTCAACAATGCGAAGGGGAAATGCTGTCAACCCAGCGGAAGAAGAACAAAAGCAGAGCGACCGCTGCAGGCAAAGTTCTGGAGCGCGCGAGTGAACCGCCGCCGAGCACCGATTCACTTCAACACGTCCAGGCGTCGATGTCGCCAAACGATCATCTGTACGGGCTTCCTCCACAATTGGTGCGATTTCTTTTTCTTTCTTTTTTGATATAAGCATGATATGATTACAACAATACTGAATGAGCTTTGACCTTTAGAACAATACATTAGTAAGGTAACCTAGGACTACAGTTCGATCGCAACAATCACTGTAGTAATGTATCACCAAGATTGAAACACTCGCGTAACGCTATAATTTCCCAGTAGCAACTAATAGCAGATATTTTTCGAACTTGGTAATACTAGCGAGGATACACTTGTAAACCACAGATTTTTTCCTATGATGCGACAGTTCAAGTCTTAGACTGCTTCCTTTTGTTGCCTTCATTTTCCGAAATGCAGCCTTGCGTGACACCCACGAAACGTTTTGTCCTGCCTAAGAATGTTTTGAAAGGAGTTATTTCTTTGGAACTACAGGTTATACTTATTGTGACATTTTATGCTACACATTAGGCAAGTGCGTCAATAAAACATGAAAAATGTACATAAAAATTGTCCAAAAATAAAATGTAAGCGGAAAACCAGTTGTACGATCATATCAGACTTCATGACCGTTCAATTGCGCTTTCGCTCTAACAGTTATTGTGCTTTGTCTCTACAATAGCTGATGCAGGAGGGGACGAGCTCGAAATGTGTATTTACTGTCGGCAAACGCCATGTGTAACGACCGACAGTCGACCGTGAGTTGTACGACTGCCAACAGCGCTCAGTTGAGAATTACTTTTCCCAGAGGAAAGGTTCCCAGTGTTCAATTTGAAGTTGGTCGAGTTATGTCCAAAAGGGGGGAAGCAACAGGAAATTAATCGTTTTTTCAGTCCACTGCCTAGTCATACGTCTTCAATAAGGTAAGCATGCATTGACTCTGACTTAGGGTACACCGTTTAGTCATTTTACAAGCGAGGTGACAGATCCTGTCATGATTTTGAACCGCGTGTAATTTTTGTTCTTTAGATCGGACAACTACGAAAATGATGAGCAATCGTCAGCCAATGAGAATTCGTCGAGAGCAAAGAGGATTCGCTCTGCCAGCGATTCCCGCCGGTAAGCATTCATTCATTGGTTTATTAAAAATAATATTTCTTTTTTGGTTTCGAATATAAGTTGATGGTGATATTTTTTTCGTTTTGTAGAGACAGAAGAACTTGTGGAAACACAAAGTGATGCAGGCCGCAGCCAGTATTTAGTTCTGACCGTCACTGAGGACGAGACAACACTTCTTTCCCAAAA